CCTCTCGCCGTTGGATGAAGCCCATAGGTTCCCGTATCTGCGTTGGGGGCTTACAAATGACTTGTGCAAGGTCTCCGAACCTACGAAACCAAAAAAACAACATGCTTTTGCGAGCCTCACGCGATCTCACGCGCTTGCAGGTAGGTGCAAGGAGTAACTAACAGCATCTCGACAGCTCCAAGACCCCCCGCACCTCGCGCTGATCCAAACACCATGTGGGGAATGTACTGACGTGCCTGGCACCGAAGCAGAGCTTGGTGTCGGGTTGCTCGCAGGTGCAGGAGGCAGGAAATTCTTTTACATGTCCTGTGCGCAGAGATGTTCTACATGATTGCACAATGCGCAGCTCGTTTGCCATTGAACACGAGGTGGGCGCCAGTGGAAGGTGCCCTCCCCTCCAGCTCCCATCCTGGAATTGCCCCTGTGCGACGTGGACGCTTTGTGGGCTGCACTTGTTGGAATGCACACCGGTCACGCGGGCAGCAGGCCGTGGGAAGTACATCAACCAGCCTCTCGACGAGCCATCTGGCAAGGTGCCCTCTATGCGTGCTGGAAGTCTCCTGGCCAAGAGCAGCAGAACGTGAAGCTTGCCTATGGCACATTCTGGCACGACTCCGCCGAGCAGCGCCTAGCAAGATCACCCCAGGCCCTTGCACTCTCGGATGCCATCCTGTTGCCAATCGGTGCTCCATGCCACAGATTTTGGCAATCGGGCCTTGCACTCATTCGCCTTCGTACTCAACACCGGCCACTTCACCTGCGCAAGGCGACCCCAACTTCAGCCCGTACTCGCTTTTACCTCACCCTCGGCCCAACCTCTGATGGTCCATGCTTGCGAGAGGGGAGAAAAGGGTTGGTACATGTTTTTTGGAGCCACGGCGCGAGCGATATGTTTCATGCGTCCATCCTGCAGCAAGTCCGTGCATCCACAAAATGGATCCTTAATGCTTTAGGGGTTATCGCTGACAATATGACAGCTGTCCATGTCTTGAGACCAAATCAACAAAGCCAGAGTGCTCCAGCTCAAAGGACCGACCGTTTGTTTCGACATCCAAGGGTACGTAGCCAGCTGGGCTTCGGCGTAGAATATGTGCTAGGACTTGGATGAAACGTAAGTTCTTGTCAAGCCACATGAACTGCCTATAATCCTGCTTGCATGTAGGATCTGTGGCAGCACGCCGCTTTTCATTCGGAAGGGCTTTGCTCCGCTAAAAACTTGCCGTCGAATCATTTCTTGCATGTCCAACGTACATTTCTTGCATGTCCAACGTATCAGACCTCCCTCTCGGAAACAGACTGTAGCCTGTAGCAGCAACACTACTACACTCTTGCAGTCTCCACTGCATGGGCTGTATACGGCTACCTGTCTTCGTGGCAGCTTCTGCACCATCACAAGGTGGATGTCGAAGCCATGCTAGACGCTTTCTATTCTAATTCTAAGCTTGGAGACTCGAGACTGCATCCTTCCTGGAGGTCCTCTGTGGTGCACTATTAGCGCCAGGGTTTCACGTGGGAGTTGTTTGGCTTCCCTCCCGCTGGCGTTTTGCCACCTTGCTCAAGAGCGCCAAGCTGACAAACCCGCCCAACAGGTGTCAGAAAGAGCAAGATGCACGGCCTCGGGAGGGCTGCTTATGGACAGTGGCCGATGGCCCAGAGCCTCGAAGCTTTGCAGATTCAATCTGGGATGCTACCCACGAAGCTATAGGAGCAGCTGCGCAGAAGCAGATGTCAATAATCATCAGGCCAACAATCGTGAGAATAGCAGCCGTGACTCTCAAGGCTTGGAAGCAGGCTGCGCTGGATTCGCGAGCTCGCGAGCAGCGTTGGCAGCGGCCTCCAATTTATTGTTATTGTTATTATTATTATTATTATTATTATTATTATTATTATCATTATTATCATTATCCGTGGGGAGTGGGGGGTGGGTTGGAGGAAAGGAGCCCCTACCCCCCGTGCTGAACCGCCTATGGTCGATGCGTTACGTCGTGCAGCATGCGACCCCCCACCCCCCCGTTTTAAGGTTTTGGTCCCCCTCCCCCCTTTAACCCCCAAAAACCTTAAAACGGGGGGGGGGGGTGGGGGCGGGTGCCCTCCAACCCCCCCCCACCCCCCTCCTACCCTCCCCCTACCCAGCCTCCCCCCCTTTTTCCCCCCCACTCCCTGGCAGAAATTTAGGGTTTGGGTTTCTAGGTTGCCACCTTACGCCAACCGCTCCAACAGTTCGAAGCCTACCCCCCCATTCCCACAACACGGCCGCAAACTCCCGAACCCTGGTTGGAGGGTTGAGAGGTTTCGGGCCTCTTGGGTCGGCGGCCTGAGCCGGAGGCTCCTAAATCCGGGCACGCCCGTGGTCCGACGCCGTTAGGCGCCAGCCCTAGCTTTTGCTACCCCGGGGGGGGGGTTAAGCCGCTGACCCGGTTGGCTCCCCAACATCCGGCTCCAAATGCGGCTCCCGAAGGGCATCATGTTTCAGGTACATTTTTTATCGCGAAAAACGCGCTATTTCCCACCGAATTTGGGCTCCTGGACGCATTTTTTTGGCGCCCCATGGGGGGTCCCAAAAACGACCCCGGAGAGCATCATCGACTCTCTTTTTCAACTTTGGCCAAATACGCGTTGTTGATGTTTTTTGGGTGGCATTGGCCACCCCAAAGGACCCCCACAAGAGCGCGCATCATGAGCATCAGCGGGTTGGGTTTTGGGTTTCGGATGCGGCTGAGAGCTTGGAAAACACAGAAATCGCTGTAAATACCGTGGTTTTCGTGCTGTTACGGACATTTCCGTTTTGAGGCCGGCATATGCCCCTATAAGCCATGCATGCCTGGAGGCCGGAGCCGCTGATGCTCATGATGCGCGGCCGGGCGGGGGGCCAGGGTGCGCATCATCGAGGCTTCGTTTCTCTTTGGGGACCCGGGGGGCGAGCATCAGCAGCGTCAGTGGCTCCGGAAAGGGTTTCGGGCGGCAGGATTTCGAAGGGTGCTGGCATAACTCCATAACATGGCACTCGACATGCGCGCACACGCGCGCGCGCGCGCGCCCGCGCGCGCAGAAAACGCACCAGTTCCCGTGCGCGGGCGGGCGCTCGCGCGCGCGCCCATGGCTTCCCTGGCCCCATGGCCCATGGACCCATGGCTCCTGGCCCTGTAGCTCTAGCTCTTTCAGCTGACTTTAAAGGGCTGCGCCCGCTCCGCCTCGCCCCATGGACCCATGGCTCCTGGCCCCATGGTCTGGCCCCATGCGCCTGGAAGTTCTATCAGCTAGCTGACTTTAAAGGGCTCAGCATGCCGCCCCCTCGCTCCGCCCACCCCGCCCATGGCTCCCAACCCCCATGGCCCCGATCTCGTATGGCCCCATGCCCCTGGACCCCCTCCTGGCCCCATGGATGACGCCCGGCCGGCCCGCCTCCAGGCCCTCTGGACCATGACTCAGAACCGACTATAAGTCGCTCCGCCCCATGGCTCCCCTCCACCCCGCCCATGGCTCCCCTGGCCCCATGGCCCATGGACCCATGGCTCCTGTAGCTCTTGGCCTCAGGGTCCATGGTCCCATGGACCCTGGTCCCATAGCTCTTTCAGCTGACTTTAAAGGGCGCCACACATGCCCGCCCGCGCCGTTGTTTGTGCATCATCGAGGCTTCGTTTCTCTTTGGGGACCCGGGGGGCGAGCATCAGCAGCATCAGCGGCTCCGGAAAGGGTTTCGAGCGGCAGTATTTCGAAGGATGCTGGCATAACTCCATAACATGGCACTCGACATGCACGCACATGCGCGCGCGCCCGAACGTCTAATGTTCAACTATTGGCTGAGTAAGGTGCTGACGATCATGCACATGAACACCTCCACGGTGTTTGCGAACGTGAAAACTGTACATGCACACTTCCACAGTGTGGCCATGCACCTCCACGGTGTTTCTGAACATGAACACCTCCACGGTGTTTGCGAACGTGAAAACTGTACATGCACACTTCCACAGTGTGGCCATGCACCTCCACGGTGTTTCTGAACATTAACACCTCCACGGTGTTTGCGTTGTTGTTGTTGTTGTTGTTGTTGTTGTTGTTGTTGTCGTTGTTGTTGTTGTTGTTGTTGTTGTTGTTGTTGTTGTTGTTGTTGTTGTTGTTGTTGTTGTTGTTGTTGTTGTTGTTGTTGTTGTTGTTGTTGTTGTTGTTGTGTTGTTGTTGTTGTTGTTGTTGTTGTTGTTGTTGTTGTTGTTGTTGTTGTTGTTGTTGTTGTTGTTGTTGTTGTTGTTGTTGTTGTTGCTGCTGCTGTTGCTGTTGCTGTTGCTGTGCTTGCTGCCGTTGTCCTGCTGCTGGTGGGCGTGCCCGGCTGTGGGCGACAGCCCGTTAGTATTATTATTGGGGGTTCTTGAGCAATTAGTAGCAATGATAGTAGGCTTCGGGGGCAAAGCGCATCTCTCCTCAAGACCCCTATGCATTAAGCACTCGTACCGGTTGGTACGTTACGAGTGTACTACGATACGGGTATAATGCTACCAGCAGGGCGGCATAGAGGTTTAAGCTTTCATGAACGCCCGGCAGATTCAACCCCACACCCCCCTTTAAGATGACAGGCTTCTCAGCCCCGAGTTCGCGGCAGGCGCCACAATGAAGCCACTTAAACCCCTAAAACCCTAAACCCTAAACCCCGGGTGTCTTACTCTTACCTGGAGATTCCCGCGCAACCGTCCTCATAGACGACGACCATGGAGAGCCGGGCTGGTTGCTCACCGCGCTTCACGTAGAGCATTCGGCCCAAGACAGTGTTGGGCACTCCAAACCCTAAACCGAAACCTCTTTTGAACTTCTTGACGCCACAGGCTGGGCGTGATAGCCAGGCCATAGAACCCTGAAAACCCTGAAATCTCTAAGGCCCCACAGAACACCGAATACCCTAAACCCTAAACCCTAAACCCTAAGCCCTAAACCTTAAACAAAAGCCCTGAAAACCCAAAACGCCCTACGCCCTGAACCCTAAACCCTAAGCCCCAAGGTGAGGCACTGACGCAACTTCCCAGGCAGCTGGCACACTCGGCTCGGCACCTTCTCTCGCTTCGGGGGTTCGGCTTCTCAAAGTTTAGGGTTTAGGGTTTAGGTTTAGGGTTTAGGGTTTAGAGTTTAGGGTTTAGGGTTTAGGGTTCAGGGTGCTTCGGGCTTAGGGATTAGGGCTTCGGGGATTCCTGGAGGTTTAGGGTCTAGGCCTTGAGGTTTAGGGGTTCGGGGATTCAGCTTCTTCGGGTTCAGGGTTTAGGTTTTAGGGTTTAGGGTTTAAGGTAGCTGGGCAGGCCACAAACGGTGCCAAAAAGGCTCTTGCACCCGGTCTACACCACAACCTACAACCCTAAACCCTAAACCCTAAACCCTGAACCCTAAACCCTAAACCCTAAACCCTAAACCAAGAAGATTCAGCCCTAGACCCTTTGGCCCAACATCCGGAGTTCCACCCGAATGCTGCCTCAGCCTCTCAACCCTGGATTCCTCCCACCTCCACGCTGCCAAAAGCCCCAACTTCACCACACTGGGTTAGGGTTTAGGGTTTAGGGTTTAGGGTTTAGGGTTTAGGGTTTAGGGTTAGGGTTAGAGTTAGGGTTAGGATTGGGATGGTTAGGGTTTACAAGTGGGGCTAGAAGTAGGGCAACTCTAGTTATACTGGTTACAACACTTGGCTGCACTCAGGAGGGTAGCTATAAATTAAACTTTTAGCTGCCTTAATAAGAAACCCAATAAACCCAAAAAAGGTAAGGATCTAAAGTTACAGTAAAGTACCACAAAGAACATGCCAGAACCTTGCGCAGGGCTCCTCTAACCCTACTTCGCGGAAAGTGTGGGCACAGCTCGGGGCGTCCGAGCGAAGGACATATACGTATAAGACCTAGGGTTTAGCGTTTAGGGTTTAGGGCAGTTTAGGGTTTAGGTTTTAGGGTACAGGGATGGGAGGTGCCTGATGCATCCTCGCTCAGCACTGGCGTGGCCTGGCATCAGAGGGTTTTGGGGGCTCCAGTGAAAGACGCCAAAGGAAGAGTCCCAAGTGCTTTAGGGTTCGGGGTTTAGGTTTAGGGTTTAGGGCTTAGGGTTTTTAGGGTGTATCATTGAAGAACCAAACTTGAGGTTACCCTACTATAGACCACACACCGCTAAGCAACCTCTTGCACCTTCCAGGTAAGCCTTGAATCCTCTGTAGGTCCTTAGCCCTCATCTGCAGAGTGCCACCCTCCTGCGAGTCAGCCCTCTATACTGAAGACTATGTCGTTTAGGGCTTAAGGGTTCAGGGTTTAGGGTTCAGGGTTTAAGGTTAAGAGCTGAGAAGTATGTATAGAGCGTAGGATGTAGGGCCGTGAGGACTTCTGGATTTTCACACCTTCGGGTCAAGCTGGCGGATTAGGGTCTAGGGTTTGCGCCCTGCCCTTGGGGGGTACCAAAGAAGGCCCCACATTCATCCACAGTCCCGAAACCCTAAACACCAAAAAGGGGGCCGAGCCCCGGTATATTCAGTACTTGAGGTCTTGGACTCAGAGGGGTGTTTCTTTGGGGTTCAACCCTCAACGTCCCAACCCTAAGCCCAAAGCCCTCAATCCTAAACCCCAAGACTACACCCCAAACCCGAAACCCGAAACCCCAAACCTCTCACCTCCCCCGACTCCTTCCCGACCTCTGGGTCAGGGCCCAGCACACCCGTGGCGCTTTTGGCCACTTTGGACCTGAGCACAACCCAAGGTTCGGAAATCTCTGAGGCCTTAGGTGCGTTCGGCGCTGAAGGCTTTCAGGGCTTAGGGTCTTAAGGCTTCTCTTGGGGTTGTAGCGTTCTGGGGCTTTAGGGTTTCTAGGGAGTTGAGGGCTTAGGTTCAAGGTTTAGGGGCTTTGGGTGTAGACTTTCAACCCTAACGCCCAAACCCTCAATCCTAAAGCGTAAACCGACACCGAAACAACCAACTAAATCAGCAGATGTCATCGTGCAAATGCCCCTGAACCCTAAGCTAATCGGTTTCTAAGGGGCTTTCGGTTTTCAACAGACTCCCAGGCTCTCAGATATCCAAACAATACAAGCCCAAACCGCTTGTGCAGCTTAGCCCCAAATCCTACACTGCAAAAAACTCCCCTCAGAGTCCGCCCAGCCAAAAAAAAACAAAACAAAACAGAACAGAACACAACAAAGCAAAACAAAACATTCTGGACCTTCGTTGGGCCTAGCACTTTCGAGGATTCTCGTGTGGAAATTGTAAGTGTTAGGGCCTGCACAAGGTCTTTGGTCTAGGGTTTCAAGGGCTCTGGGGCTTGAGAAGTTTGAAGGTTTAGGGTTTAGGGTTTAGGGTTTAGGGTGAAAGTCAGGCCCTTCTTGAAGGCCAATGTGCAGCCAGTTGCAAGTAGGGCTGTACGTGCCCCAATATGGGCATTTTCCCAAAACAAGGGGGGTGCTCTACCCCAAATAGACATACAAGTCCCTTTACGTTGCCTTAAGGGGAACCCCCCCCTCTAAAAAGAAAGAACAAAAACCTTAGGGCTTTACGAAAATGAGGGACCCCGAATATCGACCCCCCCCCCCCCCAAATGGAAGTATTCGTGTGTAAAACGGAGCCAAATAATGTATCCCTCATGATCGGAAACCCCTAATTATTGCCCTGCGTTTTAAGTAAGCCCTACTTAAAACGCGACCCATGAAGCTCCAGGTTTGTAGGGCTCAGGGTATGAGATGCTCAGGCTTAGTAGAGCTTGGGACTTTATGGGTTTAGGGTCTAGGGGTACGTACTTTGCGTACGTGTTCAGAGTTTGGTGGGTTTCGGGTTTTCCAGATTTTGGGGCTTAGGCAAAAGCCTGAACCCTATGACCCATGACCCATGACCCATGACCCATGACCCTAAACCCTAAACGTGCTCTTCACTGCTGAAACTGCAGCCACCTTGGATCCCGAATCCAAACGCCCGATGCTCTAGATCTGAGTCCTAAAGCTCTCTACTCCCTAAGCCTACTTGGGGGTTGAGGGTTGAGGGTTTTAGGGTTACTTGGAGGTTCATGGGTAGTACAAAGTGGAGCTGTAAGTAGGGCAACTATAGAAATTACTGGTTCCAACCTCATTTAGGGTACTTGTGACCCTACTTCCCATGAACCTTCAAGTACTCCGAACGCATTCCAGCACGCGACATCTTGGATGTCGGCGCCGGTAGTTGCAGTCCGGCGTACGTGGGCTGGAAAGTGCCTCTCGCGAAACGCGGGGCTTTGAGCAGAGTCGTCTTCTTCGGCTTTAGACTTGGGTTCATGTATGAGGTTTAGCCTAAACCCTAAACCCTAAACCCTAAACCCTAAACCCTAAATCCTAAACCCTTTAGGGTTTAGGGCTCTGGGTTGAGAGTGGGCTGGGGCCATCTAGGTCTGACGCGCCGTCTATGTCAGACCCTACACCCCGCCTAAACCCTAAACCCTAAACCCTACACCCTAAACCCTAAACCCTAAACCCTAAACCCTAAACCCTAAACCCCTTCCGCCCTACTCGACTTTGCGGGCCTTGGGCAGTTGCAGATGTCGGTGGAAGTCGGCGGGAACACCCGAAGCTGGGTATACCACATCACTATCATGGGTTCCCGTACTACCCCCGTCTATAGGGTTTAGGGCTTCAGGTTTAGGGTGAGGGCTATTACCCCCTACCCCCCCCCACCCCCACACTACCCCCCCTAGGTTCCCCCCATAATTAAGGCCATTTAGGGATTATTAAGGCAATGTAAGCCTATTAAAGGGGGGAACCGGGCGGGCGAGGGGTAGGAAAGAGGGGGGCAGTAGGGAAACCCATGACACTAGGAGGTGTACTTGGAGGTGGTTCCTGGAGAACCATAGATAAGTTGGTGTCGATGTGTCTCTAACGGATTATATACAAAGGTTGCCTTACTGAAAACTTTAACTACCCTAAGCCCTATACCCTAAACCCTAAACCACGAGCATTCATCCAGTACCCTAACCTCAGGCCTGACCCCCTACCTTTTAAGGGTTTAGGGTTTAGGGTTTAGGGTGACTGTTTACTAGTATCAGCAGGGTCACACGTAGGGCAGCTGCAGCTTGAGAAATACGTAGCCCGACTTTTCAAGCACGTCTTGAGGTGTGCATGGACGGAGACTGCCTCGCACCCACACCATCCCAAACCCCAAACCCCAAACCTCTGGGGGAAATCCCGCTTGAAATGCGCCCGACATGTCGGGTGAACCCTAAACCCTAAACCCTAAACCCTCTACCCTCTAAGAGCCCTTGAGTCGCCAGCCCCATTTCCCCCCCCCCCCCTTCTCCCCCCCGCCCTGCGTCCCCTTGAGGTTTGTCATGTAGGGTGTGAGCCCTACAGTCCCCTAAACCCCCCGAAGCCCCTCTAAACCCTAAACCCTAAACCCTAAACCCTAAACCCTAAATCCTAAATCCTAAACCCTACACACAGACACGCTCTCACTCACTCGCTCCCGGCACCTGAGCGCAGCGAGCCGGAGGCTTTGGCGGGAAGGCTCAGCTTCTCCAAGACTTCGGGCTTGATCTGGCTGCGGGGCTTACGAATGGTTTCTTAAAGGGTTTAGGGTTTAGGGTTTAGGGTTTAGGGTTTAGGGTTTAGGTTTTAGGGTGGGGCTTGCAGGGCTTACTTGGGGGTTTTAGGGCTTTGGGTTCTGAGGCTTCTAGGGTTTCAGGGCTTACTCATGGTTTATTTGTCTTATTGGACATTTATAATTCCCATATTACAAAAAAGCTATTCATATTAGAATGCTTACAAGGCCTTTGATGCCTTTTGGGGCTTCAGGGCTTCGGGTGGTAGGGCTTTAGGGGTTTAGGGCTTCCAGGGCTTTTGAGGAGGGTTTTTATGGCTTTGGGGGCTTTAAGGGCTTTCGGTCCTTCGAGGGTCTTAGGGCCTTGGGCAGAGCCGGTCGTTTCCACCGGGCATAGGTTGAGAATGAAGACGGAGCAGGCTCGCCGCTCTCCGGAAACCGCGCGCGCCAGCTTCTGCAAACCTTGAAGCCGAGCTCCGGGTCGACTCAGAGGACGATTCGGAGGCTCGCGCACTTCTTCGCAGCGCGGCGGCGGGCCTACCGCTCTCACCCCACCTTGGCCGTCACAGCAGCAAGAGACGCCGCCAGCGCCTGCCAAGGTCGTCTCTGCCGGCCTGAAGCCAGTTCAGGTACGTGGTAACACGCGCAGTCTCCAGACCAGCCTCCAGAGAATGTTGCCACTCAACATCGTCAAAAGTAGGACTCCAGCTGCCAACCGAATGTGCAGCACATTGCTCGCGCATAGAAGCGGCCAGCGGGCCCGAGGGTTTAGGGTTGAGGTTTGGGACTTAGGCGTTTAAGATAGGGTTTTATCGTCAGGGCATGTGCCAGGAGTCCCAGAGAACAGGTCTCAATCACCTGACCCTAAACCCTGAACCCTAAATCCCGCAGATGGTCTCGGAGCGTCGAAGTACAGCTGGGGTGGGTGTCGGGACCCTATGAAGCTGTGGAACCTATTTCGGTTCAACCCCAGGAAGGGCCAAGTAAGTATCCACAATGTTGCAGGGTGTTAGACCCTGAGTCAAAAGAAACCTAAACCACCCTGGACCCATAGGGATCTACGTGCAGGCAGGCTGTGTCATGTGCAGGACTGTTCGGAGAGGTCTGTGGCTTCAGGTGCAAACCACCCCCCAGCACCCCGACCCTTAAAACCGCCCAAGTCCCGCTAGGGTTTAGGGTTTAGGGTTTGTTGAGTTGACGCTTTTAGTTTGGGTTTCACTCTAAACCTTGTACCACAAATGGTGTATGTTATAGACCCTTTGTTGGTACCCTGAATTAAGGACTACACGGAAACAATCGAGCCTAATTTTAGAACAACCCCCAAATGGAGCGTTTAGGGTTTAGGCAGGAGGCCCCCGCCCCCGCACCCTCCCTAAACCGTACTTGGAGGTTCATGGGTAGTTCTATCTAGGGTTATGAGTACCTCAAGTAAGGCGATACGTAGAAGTTGCCTTGCTTAGAACCCTACTTGTAACTACTCATGAACCTCCAACTACCCCTGAGAACCCAGAAAACCTAACCTCAACCCTAAACCCTAAACCCTAAACCCTAAACCCTAAACCCTAAACCCTAAACCCTAAACCCTAAACCCTAAACCCTAAACCCTAAACCCTAAACCCTACCCCATGGCGCCGACCCCTGCTTGGCGCGCGTAGTCCCCGGCAAGGTGGCCCTCGGCGTCCCTCAAGCTCCTGCAGCTTGCCTAAAACCCTAAAACCCTAAAACCCTAAACCCTAAACCCTAAACCCTAAACCCTAAACCCTAAATTTGGTTGGGGAGCTTCGGCTTCGCTGAGTTGTGCTGTAAATCCATTGAAAGTTAGCTATGAGCAGGTTTTTTTTCTGAGTATGAAAGAAGGGACATGAATAAGTTTTGCCAAAGCGAACTGTTAGGGTTTGGGCCTAAGGGCTCTGGGGTTGTGGTTTTGGGGGGTTGAGGGTTGAGGGTTTAGGTTTGGGATGTTCCCCCTTATACTAACCTTAGCCGGGATTACAATGGGGGGTAACTATAGTCGCGTTTAAGGACTGTTAGGGTAAGGGGGGGAACATCCCAAGCTTAGGGTTTAGGGTCAAAGGTGGAAGGCTTTTTGGTTTAGGGCTTTAGGCAGTACGGGTCAGGGCTTAGGGTCTGGAGTCGAATTAGGGTTTGGGGTTTAGGGTTAGGGTTTAGGGTTTAGGGTTAGGGTTTAGGGTTTAGGGTTTAGGGTTTAGGGTTTAGGGTTTAGGGTTTAGGGTTTAGGGTTTAGGGTTTAGGGTTTAGGGTTTAGGGTTTAGGGTTTAGGGTTTAGGGTTTAGTTTTAGGGTTTAGGGTTTAGGGTTTAGGGTTTAGGGTTTAGGGTTTAGGGTTTAGGGTTTAGGGTTTAGGGTTTAGGGTTTAGGGTTTAGGGTTTAGGCCAGACCTTGCACTGCACAGCTGCATGAAATCCCCTACAGCACATCTCTACGATGTTTTTGAGGCCTTTGGAACTCTCTCCTGCGACAGTCATCGCCCTAAACCCTAAACCCTAAACCCTAAACACCGAACCCTAACCCTAAAACCTGAACCCTAAACTGCCCAAGAAGCTACTTACGACTACCCGCGAACCTCCAAGTAGCCCTAAACCCTTAACCCTAAACCCTAAGCCCTAAGCATTAAACCGCCCTTGTCGTTTAGGCGCTGGGCTTCTGGCAGGAGAGCATGAGTCACATTGCACGCCATCCACGCCTTGGAGGGTGTAGGAGTTTAGGCACGAGGGGGCTGTCGGGCTTGAGGGGCTTAGTGCATAAGGTTGCCCTAAATCCTAAACCCTAAACCCTACACCCTAAACTCGAAAGGGTTTGGCCTCACAGGATCGCCTGTTCATGCACTACTATAGGTCTCCACGTGCCTGTCCGCATGGTGGTCCCTTGTGGGGTGCACATTAAATATATAGGTTTAGGGTTTAGGGTGTAGGGTTTAGGGTTTAGGGCTTAGAGTCTAGGGTTTAGGGCTTAGAGTTTAGGGTCCCTGTTGAAATACGGCTGCTTGTATGTACATACCCATGCTGACCATGTAGAGCCGAAATCCCCGTTGGAACAAAGGTCTGAGACATGTCTAAACCCTAAACCCTAAACCCTAAACCCTAAACCCTCAACCCTCAACCCTCAACCCTAAACCCTAAACCCTAAACCCTAATGCTTTTTGAGTGGTCTACAGATTGAAGGCTCAGGGTTCCGGGGTTTGCGGATTTTTATAGACGAGATGACTACAGGGCTTCGGGCAAAGCCTTGAAACCTTGAACCTACGGTTTAGGGTTTAGGGTTTAGGGTTTAGGGTCTACACACCTCAACTCCGAAACCCCATAGCCCTCAAACTCCGGACCTGCAACCCTGAAGCCCCAAACCCTAAGCTCCCTAGGTCCAAAACCCTAAACCCTAAACCCTAAACCCCAAACCTTAACCCCCCACCCAAAACAAACGTACAGGGCTCGGCTCCCATGGTCTAGGAGAGCTGGCAAGGACGTCGCCGAGGCCCGCTTTGGCCGCCAGATGTAGGGCAGACTGGCCTGCAGGTCTAGGGTTAGGGTTTAGGGTTTAGGGTTTTGGGGTGCTGGTTCGTGGGGGATGAGGGCTCTAGGGGGTCTAGTGGTTTGGAATGTCAGGGTTGAGGGTTAAGGTTTTAGGTTTCGAGGTCTAGGGGTTTGGTGTTTAAGGGTGCTAGTGGTCTAGAGTGTCAGGGTTAAAGGTTTAGGCTTTAAGGGTTTCAGGGCGTAGGGGTTTAGGCTTTGGCGGTTTAGGGAGTTGAAAAGTAGAGTGCGCGCTGGCACGCTATTGCCAACACTCAGAGCAGCAGCTTAAGCCTACTTGAAGGTTCATGGGTAGTGTTAAGTAGGGTTATAGGTACCCTACAAAAGGTTGGAACCAGCTATAACTTTCGCTAACCTACTTATACCCTTCTTATAACTTTTCATGAACCTCCCAGTACCGGTGTAGGGATTGTCCTAGCACTCTCTTGTATAGTTTAGATGGGTGCCTAACACCTACACAGGGTTTGGGGTCATCTGGCTCGTGTGCCTAAAGGGATGTAACTCGGTTGGGGGTTTAGGGTTTACGGTTTAGGGTCCTGGTTCAGGTCTTGGGGTTTGTAGCGACCCGTACATGTGTTCTAAGGAGTCAGGCTTTTGTGCAGCACTTGGTACTTTGGGGCGCGCGGTTGAGGGTTTAGGGTATGGTGTCGGTACTCTTTCGTGTCGACCAGCTGTGTAAAAGAACCCAGAAACCCGAAACTGCAACATTGTTGGGTACTATTTAAGAATCACGAGTTTTGTTCCTTGTTGGGCTTAAGCATTCATAAAGATGTAAAATGATTTTCAACAATGACCCAGTAAACCCTAAATCCTAACCCCAAAACCCTGAAGCACTAAACGTGGACAGCCTTGGCGATTGATCACGTTCACGTTTGCATGGCTCCTGGCAGGTTCCGAATGTGCATCCCGGATGTTAGGGGTTTGGGGGTTTAAGGGCTTGGCGTTGGGGGTTTGGGCTTTGAGTAGCTGACGGAACCCTGAACAAAACGAAATGGGGTGGGGGGGGGGGGGGGGGGGGGTTTAGGGTTTTAGGGTTTAGGGTTTAGGGTTTAGGGTTTAGGGTTTAGGGTTTTTTAGGGTTTAGGGTTTTTAGGTTTAGGGGTTAGGGTTTAGGGTTTAGGGTTTAGGGTTTAGGGTTTAGGGTTTAGGGTTTAGGGTTTAGGGTTTAGGGTTTAGGGTTTAGGGTTTAGGGTTTAGGGACATCTTGACGGAGGGCTCATGTGGTGCAAGGTGTGGGCCAAAGTGGGCAGCAGAAAATCTTTAAATCGGCTCGTCCTTCCCTGAGCCTCCAAACCGCTTTTAAGGGTTTAGGGTTTTAGGGTTTAGGGCTTAGGGTTTTGGGGTTTAGGGTTTAGGGATTCCCTCAATCAGAATAAGAACGTCATTGTAATTTAAGGAATGTCGCGCCATCTCGGGCTTTTTGAGGTCCTGGGTGAAGCGTCAAATTGGCGACTAAAAGGAGGAACAGCTCCAGTTCATCTTAAGTCCCTAAACACGGTTTAGGGTTTAGGGTTTAGGGCAAAACCTCCCTGTCCTCTGAAGTGTGGCACAGATTGGACGCGTAGGCGCGAAGAACAAGGGGGTCTGCCTTGTCGGACACCCTAAACCCTAAACCCTAAACCCTAAACCCTAAACCCTAAACCCTAAACCCTAAACCCTAAACCCTAAACCCTAAACCCTAAACCCTAACTTAGGACTCAAAGGCTGGGCCTTCCGAGGCCGACTCTCCGATCCTATCAATTACACCCTAGGCCAACCTCAAACTGCCTCGGCTTCAGGGTTTAGGATTTAGGGTTTAGGGCTTGGGTTTAGGGTTTAGGAGACGAAATCATAAAAAGTTTAGGGTTTAGGGGGCTAAGATGAAATCATAAAAGGTTTAGGGTTCATGGTTCAGGGGGGTTAGGATAAAATCATAAAAGGTTTAGGGTTTAGGGTTTGTTGGGAAAGAAACTCTCAGAAGGCAGACCACAAACTGGGCTGCCGGCCCATGGCAATCCGCAGCATTTGGGCTAGCCTTGGCTACTACCCCTCAAACCCTAAACCCTAAACCCTAAACCTCTAACCTTAACGCATCTCGAGACCACGCACCCGGAACATCCCTGAACCCTAAACCCTCAACCCTAAACCCTGAATCCTAAACCCTAAGCCCTAAACCCTCGGGTTTGAGAGTTTGAGGGTTGTGGGTGTCGGGTGTAGTGGCTGTTTGTCGGCCTGGGGGTTTAGGGTTTGTGGTCTAGGGATGGCTGCAGGCCTCGGGCTTCTTCCAGGCTTTTGCAACTCGCATTGTTGCACGTTCGGTGTGTCAAAAAAACTCAGATATCTGACAGCGAAGCCAAGGGTGCTCAAGCAAAGCATCCAGCAACCGACTTACCCACAGCTCTCAACGGTTAATAAAAGGCTTCACACTACGCTGGTAGTATGACACCGCGTGTCGCAAAGACGCTTGAACTTGAACTTTGCACCCTAAACCCTAAACCCTAAGCCCTAAGCCCTAAGCCCTAAACCCGAAAGGCCTTTGAGCAGCAGGGCGCCCCGGCACGAGATGCCAGCAACAGTCTGCAGATCTCGTCCTTCGAAACGCGAATCCTATCCCAAGCCCTGATAAGCATGATAAGCCCCCCCCCCCCCCCACTAAGCCCTGTAAGCACTGTTAGGGTTTAGGGTTTAGGGTTTAGGGTTTAGGGTTTAGGGTTTAGGGTTTAGGGTTTAGGGTTTACGGTTTAGGGGCCGCAGGTCCCCATGATCACTCTACGCCCCTTCTGCGCCTACAGGCACGCTGTAGAGAGCACCAAGTCCCAAGATTTGTCAGGGTTGGGACATCATCACGCCAGTGTCAAGCAGGAGGTTCTGAAGACCGAAACCCTAACCCAAAACTGCCGGCATCCCGGTGCCATCGGGGCGCAGGCGGGTGTTGTACACTTCAGCCTAGATGGTTAAGTGCTGTAGAGGCTTACGTTTCGGGGTGGCCCTAAACCCTACACCCCAAAATGTAAAAGCCTAAACCCTAAACCGCAAAGGCCTAAGCCCCAAACCCCAAACCCGAAGCCCTCAAAACCCTCAACCCCTAAAACTCCAAAACCCGAACCTGAAACGCCAAACCATACAACCCCCCTCAACCCTAAACCCTAAACCCTCAAAACCGAACCCTTAACACCCTACCATGTCCGGCACCTAAACCCTAAACCCTAAACCCCAAACCCTAAACCCTAAACCCTAAACCCTAAACCCTAAACCCTAAACCCTAAACCCCAAACCCTAAACCCCAAACCCTCAAAACCCCACCCATGTCCGGCGCCTGGCCCTTGAAAGCTGCCAGGTGTAAGAGGCGAACACCTCGGAGGAATGCTTGGAGGTCCATGGGGTTGTTATAGGTGGGGTTTAGGGTTTAGGGTTTAGGGTTTAGGGTTTAGGGTTTAGGGTTTAGGGTTGAAGGCTTAGGGTTTAGGTTACAAGTAGGGTAAACACATGATTCGAGCTGTTGATAACCTTGCTGTAAGGCACGACTAATCCTGCCTACAACTGCCCATGAACCTTCCAAGCACAGGCTGACGTGAGGCTTTAGGCATTTTCGGGTTTAGGGTTTAGCGTTTAGGGCCTTGGGGGAATCTAGGGTTTTTGTGTACTAGGTCAAGGGATCGTGAACGGGGCCCTTCACCCTCAACCCTCAACCCTCAACCCTCAACCCTCAACCCTCAACCCTCAACCCTCAACCCTCAACCCTCAACCCTAAACCCTAAACCGCTGAAGAAGCGCGCGGTCTTCCCGGGACCGGCATAGGCCAACTAAGGGGGTTGAGGGCTTGCAGGTTGGCCCCTAAAAACCATGTGAAAGACATTTCTAACCCTAAATCCTAGCCCTAAACCCCAAACCCCAAACCCCAAACCCTAAACCCTAAACCCTAAACCCAGTATAAAAATCTACCAAGAGCCTACCGAGGCTTTCAGGAGCTTTGGGGTTTAGGTTTCTGGCGTTCTGGGGCTTCGAGCTTCAGAGTAGAAGCAACCCCAAACCCTCTGAGAGGTTGACTTGGCTGCACTCAGGAGGGTAGCTATAAATTAAACTTTTAGCTGCCTTAATAAGAAACCCAATAAACCCAAAAAAGGTAAGGATCTAAAGTTACAGTAAAGTACCACAAAGACAAAGATAAGAGTTGAGTGGGAAAAGGGTTTTCTTTTATGGCCGAAGCAACACTCAGCCACCAGGCTTACTTGGAATTTTGTGGTCTGGGGCCCACAGGTAACTTTGCAAAACCCTCAGCCCTAAACCCTAAATCCTAAACCCCAGGAGTATCCCCCAAAACAGAAACCCATACATGGTCCGGCATTGGGACCATCGTGCCTACGGAACAAGAGTATCCGTGTTTAGAACTTAGGGTTTATGGAATTTAGAATGCTGCAAGATATTAACTGGCTAGGCAAGAAGTGCACCTTTGGTTTTGTGAAAAGGTTACTTAGGGTATAGGGCTTAGGGTTTTTGCCCATAATGTTCAGCATCCAAGACTAGAGTCCTGGCGCAGAGAATGTCTTCTGGGAATTCCAGGGCCCCCCAGCAGAGACAGAGTGAGGTTTAGGGTTTAGGGTTTGTAGGGCTTCAGGGTTTCGAGGTTTTGGTGCAAGCGACCGTGGAGCCAAGCGGATTTTCGCGGCAGCAACGAGTCTATCAAGGGTTGTGGCAGAATTGCCTGCTGCGCGTTGGCAGATAAAATGCGGGGGAAGATCGAAACCATGAACCTCAATTTCAGGATTCAGGGCTTACAGGGACGGCAGAGTTTAGGGATTTCCACACCCTCTTTTCCAGAATCGTGAAGTCTTAAGCAGTCGCACAAACACTGGGCCCCAAAGGCAACGGAGACGCAAGGACTCTTTCATCACGATAGAGATCCTGCTAAACCCTAAACCCTAAACCCTAAACCCTAAACCCTAAACCCTAAACCCTAAACCCCAAACTCTTTCCCCACAAAAGACGCCATGGTGCATGCCAGGCTCTTCCAGAGCCCCGAACTGTGAGGATTTTTTCGGGGAAACATACTTTTGGAAGGGAATCCCTCAATGTGCTAGGGTTTAGGGTTTAGGGTTTAGGGTTTAGGGTTTAGGGTTGAGGGTTTAGGGGTAAGGGGATCTTGCAACAAGGGCTCCCCCAAGCCCTAGGGTAATATAGGGGGCCTTAATCATTAGAATAGGGTTCTGGTGATTGTAGGAATGTTATATACCTTCGGGGATCAGATGAAACCTCAAATTGGGGTCATATACCCTGCATACCCTCCCTACAAGAAACCCTAAACCCTGAGCCCTAAAGCCTAAAAAGGTCACTGCTCGAAAATATGATCCCTTTTGGGTTCTTATCGTGCGGGGGCCCCTATTGTCTAGGGCACCCAACAATGGACCATCCTAATGAGAATTGACCATGTGAAGAATAAACCCTTTTAGGCCCCAAACCCTAAACCCTAGCCCTAAACCCCAAACCCTAAACCTTAAATCCTAAAGGTTCATGTGGTTTCAAGGTACGTTTCGCTTTCGTTGTATTGCACCCCCCCCTGGTCAGAGTCTACCGAACCGTGGGGTTTAGGGTTTTGGGCTCTTAGGGTTCAGGGTTTAGGCGAGGGTTGAGGGTCTAGGGCTCTTGGGGTTTGGGGCTCTTGGGGTAGGGTTTAGGGATTGGGGCACTTAGGGTTCAGGGTTTAGGGGTAGACGCGCTCTAAAACCTTCGGGGGCAGTGACATGCCTTTCACGGTTCAGGGTCGGCTCTGTGGCACAGTCTGCTTCACAACTCGCAGCCCTCGTAGCCGAGAAGCTGGAAGCTCCGTTGGACATTTGGGGGTTACGAAAAAAAGGGTTTCGGGTTTAGGGTTCAGGACCCCTAACATAGACCCCACAAATAGTAGGATTCCCCTATAACAGACCCCATTCGAAAACGCCCATGTAGGGCATGGGCCGTTTCACGGTCCATGCCCGACCAAGGCACCTTTTCCACCCAGAAACTCGTTGCACAGCCGGCTTGAAGCAAAACACTGTCCATTTTTCTGGTGATCGTGGACGTGCACATGACAGGACCTGATCTGCAGTTGAACAGTATGACAGATGCCAGCGTGCCATTTGGTGCCTGCAATCTAGCTGCAGAGAATCGCCGAAGAATTATTCAGTGCGCCTCAACTGAGGCTAGTTTTCTTCCAACTTCTCCGGTGCCTGCCCTACATGAGTTGTCATGCCACTAAAGATCGTGCTTCTCCTTTGCTACAGTCTGAGCAGGCATTTAGTGTCTTGTCCGGAGCTGGAAAGACGCGCCCGCTTTAAATGGAAAATGTGTTCTCGTCTAGGCTTGCCTCGTCTAGAACCAATGAAGACATTGATATGCATCCGCTCGTATTCCCGCCAAAAGCGTCCATAAGATACCTGAGCTGGCGAGTTTCCTAGGGGGGTAATTCAGCTGTGCATGCTGTAGGGGCTGCTCTCCCGAAACAGTTGCCTATGAAGCCTGCAAGGCACCCTGGCGCGGACATCTCTTGGGCGAGATCCTCCGCCGTCTTGTTCCTGGAATTCTTGATGCCAAGTCGGGCACCATTTGCCACAAGTACTGCAGCTGCATCGTAGTTGCCTGAGAGTATGGCAAACATCAAAGGGGTAGCCCCATAGTGATGGTAGCCCAGGCGTCGGAGCTGTGTGGACACTTTCTTGGGCTTGTGTTGCAAACCTTTGACGCGGAAGAGAGCGCCCATGGGGCTCAACATACTAGGCCGATACTGCTCGTTCAGGTCTGCTCCTCGACAGATCAGGAAGTCCATGGTCCTTGCCGAACCGCATGTTCCCATGGCAGCCCAATGCAGTGAGAGCGAAAGACCCAAGTTCTTGTCCTGCTTCAGCAGGGCCTTCATCGCACGCAAAGAGCCTGTGACGCAAGCCTGGCGTAAGGCAGACACCCCGAAGGGGTTCACTTCTGCAGGGTCCGCACCCGAAGCGCAGAGGTAATGCACCGCTTCTTCATCATCCACGTAGCAAGCGCAGCTCAATCCTGTCATCAAGACGCCCGGGACACTGATTTGGGCGCCTGCAGCAATCAGCAGCCTCATCACCTCATGGTTTCTGAACTTCGTGCACAGGCCAAGTACCGGAAGATTCTTGTCCAGACCCAGCTTGGCATGTGCTCTGGTAATCTTGTCATTTGGATCTGCCCGATGGTCAAGTAGCGCTTGAACCAGCAGCGGGTCTCCCCTCATGGCGGCGTAGCACATGGGGGTCCAACCTCCGGCGACCAAAAAGAAAGCATATACTTAAAAGGGGGTTTCCTATACTTGGAGGTTCACGGGTACGTATAAAAGTAGTTTTATACGTAGGATAACTCTAATTATGACCTGATCTAGCGTCCTTACAACCCTACCTATAACCACCAGCTCTAGGTCCTAAGCATCTACTATATATGTACATGGACCCTTAGGGGGCAACATGGCATGAGCTGGGGGTCTAGCGTTCTTCCGTCTTATGCTGTGATCGGCTTAGGGTAAGGGTTTAGGGTTGAGGGTTAGGATTCCAGGGTTTAGGGTTTAGGGTTTAGGGGTTAGATGACCATCGTGTAGAAGCACCTGGCATCTGAGTACTCGGAGAAGTACTTACGTCTCAGTTGACCAGGAGACAAAGGTTTTAACCTTTGGGTTGGGTGTTAACGGGGTTGAAATCAACATCATAGCGAGCTAGCCCAAACATTGCACCCTCAGTCCAAAAATCCGAAACCCCAAACCTTAATCTCCAAACCCTAAACCCTAAACCCAAAACCCAAAACCCAAAACCCCAAAACCCCAAAACCCCAAAACCCCAAAACCCCAAAACCCCAAACCCAAACCCTAATCCTACCTCCGGCATCTCGTTCTCTAGGATGGCTGAAGCCGCTGTGGAACAAGAACTTTGCCAGGACCAGCTCATGCTGTTTCATGTCAGGGTCCTCCGCTTTAGGGTTTAGGGTTTCGGGTTTAGGGTTTAAGGATTGGGGGTTTAGGGTTTAGGGAGGGCGGTGCTGCGAACAGTATACTGCTGCATCCTACCTCATCCCCTGGTGCACGGCAATCTGATGGACGCTATCCTTGCAGCTGTAGCCCTAAACCCTAAACCCTGAACCCTACTTAGAACTATGCCCCCAAGACATGAGCCCTTCACGCGCGTGTCCGGCTCGAATCCGGGCACCAACTCCTCATTGCAGTCGATCGACAGGCCCCTCAATCGGGCGCGCCTGGGTGGCCGAGCAACCGAATACAGGGGCATTAAAAATTGCAAAGGGCCCCAAGCCCCAAACCCCTAAACCTCAAGTCCCAAGCACTGGGGCGGATATGGGAACTTAAAATCCTAATC